AACCGTGTTGAAACTACACTACACCATATGTAAGCAATTTTAAACAATATCATGTCTCTGATGTGGCTCACGGCAGCTGCACCAACGCTTATGCTGACAAGATAGGAGGTAGCCCAAGGCCAGGAAAGAAAAGCCAAGAGCCAGACAGGCTAGGCCAATTCTTTCTGTAGCATGCTGAACTCTGTCATTCAAAATGCATATGCTAGAGTCACGGTTTGAGGTTTCTTAATTTTATGCAAATACTTACAATGATATAAATGCAGGCATGGATACAGCTGTGGCAATGTGAAATTGCCTTGCACTGGCATAGATTTTCCCATTTCTGAGCCTGTTGCAGCCACATTGCCTGTAGGGCAAAGTTTGAATCCGAATCAGGCCCTAGACCATGGGAAAGTTCATCTGGTGAACTACCTGGCTCGCCCTAAACCCTAGACAGCGTGCGAGACACCACCGAGGCAGTCTGAAACCACATAACCGATCGTGGTAACAGCTTGCAACATGTATTTTCCAAAGCCTACATCAAACCTAGAGGTCTACACGACTGCAGGGCTCGGTAACCACAAAGAAGATGCCAGTAAGCGTGAGAATGGATGAGCACAGTGTTACTCTTCAGACATCTGTAATTATAACGGCTTTGGGAGAAACGAAACTGAAGTGGTCTGAACTAAACGGAGTAAAGTATCAGCTCGATCTAACAATTCCCATTTGATAGAACAACGTATTACGCAGGGATGGTGGGAAAGCACTGCAAGTTAGTTTATCTGTTTTGCCGCAAAGATGCAGGCTACCGAGTATAGGCAACATTTAGGCTTTGTCTGACTCTCCAGGTCCAGGCCGGTTAGCTTGCCTATAAAGCGTCAGATGAGATATTTTTGGGTGTGGACAAGAGCACAGTTACCAAACAAGCACCTGCTTGAACTTTCCTGGCAAGAAGTTAAGGTACGTGAAACGCACTACTTCTTGTCATTTAATAGTGCTGGCACAAGAGCCAGGGTGTTTTCCACCCGCTGACCGTGCATGACCAAGCTATTTGGCGTATTAGATACAAAGGATAAATGGTTGAAAAATTCATCTATAACCAAGTAAAAATGCCTCCTGACATCTACAATCAGTCCTAAACAGACACCTGGTCACGATAACCTGTACAGGCATGACCTCCAGGCTTCATTGTTGTTTCTTTCAAGCCTGAGAAAGGTGGCAGAAAGCAGATTGAGAGTCAGCCTCAGTCTTCGGACTTCCTGTGTGGCATCAGGGAAGCTTTCAAACTTGTACCCTGTTTACGCCACAGCAACATAAAGTTAACAACACTTACCTGGTGGCCTCACTGGGGTAGACTCCTGGACTAAATACCCAACACACAGTACCTTTCAAAAGACTCAGTATTGTTATCTGGACATCTGGTAAGAACATGTGGATTAGCCAAACAACTCATGAGACAGATGACAAAGTAGTTGTGTAGTTACTAGAGTCTTGAAGAAAAACAAAATGCAAATTTCTTTGCAGAATGGAGACACATTTAACTTCAATGACAGCATTTGTTACATACTTCTTTACTTAAAATGTATACTTATGAAAAGTTAATTTAGGTAGGAATTCGAGTACAAAAATTAGTTTATTTCACTTATTCCTTCAAGAACATACTTTGGTCCATCAAGTTTTGCAGATTTTTCTGGGAAAAAAAGGACTTTTTTTTCAAAACTCAGTTTTTAAAAAAACTGTAAGCTTGCACAGTAATTCCTACCTTTTTCCTCCCTTCCTAAAACACCAGCAGTTAAGCACTTAGATGATGGTGATCATTAGGCAGGGAAGAAAGACACTTATTCATCTTATATGGAGCGCGCTGTAGCAAAAAAGTTAAGTTATATCTATAAATCACTACCTTTCGGAACATACACTAAACAGGCAGTTGCTGCTTCTTGACCAGGCAACTTTCATACTGATCCCAATGGAATTTTACCCTGATTAATTACTTGCCAGATTCACTCACAGACAAGTTTAGGCAGCATGGAGTCAAAGGAGAGAGTGAGGAATGTGTTTTGGCATAAAATCAAGTGCTTCTTAAGGGCAAAGTACCTTTTCTGTAATTATAATATTGAACTTAAATTAGATATGCAATGATTTTTTTTTTAAATTGGCTACTTAAACATGTGACATTTAGAAACCCTCCCCTCCTTCATTTTTCTTATGAAGATATTACTATTTTCTTAGACGGTTTTACTTGTTTTTTCATGTGCAAAACCAATTACATGGATCTTTTGGTGAAAAGCATCCGAGTTTGAGTTTATTCTAGAATTAGCTGCGCTCCTCTCAAAAACAGAAGCAAAAATAATTTAATAGGTAACATATTTTTTCAGCATTTTAACCACCAGTTTCACCAATGGATTATACGGTTGCCTTCAGACCACAGCATAACAGATATGGATTGAGGTTTAAATTCGTATCTACATATTTACAATAGCAAAGAACCAGCACATGCACATACACCCAGTATTTCTCAAGAGCACAGAAAGATGTAGTTGATCAAAGACAGGTTTAGGTTTGCATAGGCTCACCGTTACTTCCTAAACGCCGGGGGGGTCCTTCAGGGTGCTGATTTATGTGGACTGTGACAGATAACGAGTTACCAAAAATGCCCAAGTGCCAGCGGGGTACCAGGCTCCGAAAATTAATTACTAAGCTCCCATCCACGGGATCAGTCTACAGTGGTCTCATCCTTACATGGTTAGGTAGATTAATATTTTCATTATGAAATCAATACCCAAAGTCTCCACGTCGCAGGAGGCAACAAGGACCCCGTAACTAGCCTGGTTTAAAGGGCGTGCTCTTCTTCCCTCTGGTCTCCTGCAGGGTAAGCTGGGGAGCAGAAGGAACGAGGCAGTGTACAGGCGTGAATTACCACAACACCTGCATTAACAGATTATGCTGAAGCATGCGTTAACTGTAACGTTCAAGTATGTTTTATTAAGTGTTATAAAATATATACAGTCTTAAAATACAGCACATTTCACACACAGGTTTTAAGACCTCGTTGGTATCACTACAGCACTGAATAGATGATACACTTCCTATCAAATCAGCAGACCAGAAAGCTAGGAAAACCCAAAACTACTCTGTTTCGGATTACAATCTCTTTCAATGCCCCACTGCTTAAGGCTGTATTTTCTACTACCTGAGTTGATTTTGTTAACCTCACGAGCTTTTGAATCTCTGTGGTGGTGGGGCAGAGAGGAGTGATTATGCACACTTTTCAAAATACAGAACTAGCAAGAAAAATGTTGGTAGTCACTTTGTAAACTTTGCATTAAAAACACGTAAAAGAGAAAATTTGGTACTTACAAAACTGAATACAGCCTACTTAACAATCTTGAATCTAAAGTGAGATCAAGTAAAAAACCAGCACTTCATTTCATAATGTACTTCAGTTTCACCAGACTTGAAACTCATGCAAAAAATGATGCCTGGTTCTTCATGTTTATACCACTGTTATGTCACCAATCTTGTGTGCGATGTCATACTATAAAAAGAAAGAATATCATTAATCTATATTAATCTATATTAACAAGAGGCTAGATACTGTAATATACAGTAATTAAATGCACGATTCCAATCATCACCCAAGTTACGGTCATTCAGATTAGAGTTTATACCAGTGTCTTGCAGAAAACCAGTGCAGTGGTGTAGCAAATTGACTCCATTTATCACTGGACTGTAAATGACCGTAAGCTTAACTTAATAGCAAATTTTCAGTATCTTCACCTAGGTTATTGGAAAATCCTCATAGATTTCCCAGCACATAACTTTAAAAATTGATGGCAGTAGGTATCTGTCAAAGTCTGCTTAGATGTCTCTTTCCTCAGTTTCATACCAGTAACTTGAATTAATGAAGAACCACACATTTTTGTTGTTTACTGCTATAAACACTCAGTTTTCTCAAAGAATCCAGAGACTCATCCCAATCTGCATACTTGGTTGTTTCACCATTTCCTTAGAAGTCAGTTCTAGTTCCTCGACTATTTTTGTTGACTTTTTCTGGGGATACTTTTTTGCACAAAGATAGTAAAAAATAATTCTTTGTTCCAGTTACAGTTCTTCATCAGCTCTGTATTCTTTGACTTAATATTCCAAGACTGATATTGTAAGAAAAATGATAACTAAGCATTTTGCTACCACTCCATGCTGCAAAACTGCCTTTTCTATATGCTGCCTGTACTCAAACTCTGCTGATAGTCACCAATATTAATTTTCCAAACATGATATTCTAACCAAAAACAACTCTTCCTAATTAATAATCCACAAATGTATATGGATATATTGCATCTACTGGAAACATCTCATTTTCTTACTCCACCATTTCAGCTTATTACAGGCTTTTGTAGTACTATACCAGTCCTCACAGATTTTTAAAACATGCCTCAATGCCACAATAGTTTCTCCGTAAGACCAGTAATTAAAAAAACCTGACTCAGGCTACCTCTGTAACACCTCACTCTCTTCCTTGCAAAGTGTCACTCTGCAATTAGAATTACACATCAAATAAAATCTTCCAGTTGCACGTGACAGTAAAAATAATCGAGTACCTTCACACAACTTTGCTTGGAAGCATAACTCAAATCAGTACCAAGTACTGCTTGGCATTAAAACACGTTTGCCTTCTTTCTATTTAAAGCTGTTATCTAGCATGAGAATCTGTTTTACAGCTTCATTCTGGCTATTGTTTATATACTTTTTCTTTTAAGGAATGTAACATTGTAAAAGTGTATTTTCAGGATTATTTATCTAACATTTTCTCCATTTTGGAAGATTCTGGCAGCATAATTTTTTTTTTTCTCCTGGAACTTATTTCCCACCCTAACCTAATACATCTATCCTCAGCTCTAGTATCACAGGAACAAGAACCCTAGTATCAGCCTGAAATTGTATTTGATCAAATTAGCTGATGCTCTGTAAAAGGCATATTAATTGGGACTGAACACTGAGAAGTGTCCTTTCTGCCTGTATTCCTGTCTTTGCACCACAGCTAACACAACACTCCTATTCCCGACCTCTTGCATTAATAGCTCTCGAACAGATAACTCGTTAATAATTAGTAAACATATGCCTTCTAAATAAAGATTAAGCTGCTCCCCACACGGTTCATCCTATCCCACTCTATTGGAAAAGCCTGAAGAAACAGAGCTCTTATATGCCAAAACGTTTATAAATCTAGCTATTTGCAGGGATAAGGCAGGCGTGCAAGTAGGGGCTCACGTAACGACGGCTCTCCATCAAGCACGTCCTGTTCACTCCCTTTCATGAATGAGTCAAGAGACAATTAACATACTCTGCTTATGAAGAAAAAAAAAAATCTGCTATATGGCACACTGAGGTGAGCTGGGATGGGGCGAGAGCTTTTGATCTCCCAGTTGTTTGGAAAAGCAAAAGTTTTTAAAAATCAGATGCTTAAATGAGCTATAAGGGCAAAAGGGAACAAATACAACATAATCTGTTCTCCTTTGCCTGCACTGTCCTGATACTTTCAGTCTTGATTTTCTTCTTCCCTTCTCACCTAAGTAAATCCCTACCAAAAAAAAAAAGTAAAGAAAAATGCAGTCTGGCAAGTGAACCCTAGCATGCAGCTAGAGGTTATTCATGCAGCTGTGATAAAGAAAAAAAAAAAAATTCCACCCACCAGTGTTGTAACTTACAAACAGGATGTGGTAACTCTTTTGGATCTCACAAGGAAAAATATCAATTAATGAGAAACTGCTGTCTGCCCAGGTACTTGCAATCATAACCTTATTACATATCAGCTGGAAAAACAGGGGCCGGTCTAAAATACAATATATGGTGTATTTAGTTTAAAGTGCCTAATGCCTAAACCAGACACAAATGAATAAAACTGGTTAGGAACAAAAACTATAATAGAAAAGATCAGTAAAAGGAACGACCCTCCACAAAAGCGTGTTTAATAGCAACATACTATACTCAGAAAAGGGAAAAACTGTCTAAAAATCCATCCTGATTCAGTGGTGAAATAAACCCAGCAATCAGAAATAAAAAGGCGGCATGTAACATAAAGAGGAAGGTCAGCCACCAACGTAAGTGGGAAGCTGCAGGCGGAGGAAAGTTGTCTAAAAAGCCAAACACAAGGAGTAATTTGTTGCTGACAGGGCCAATGTAATGACGGCAAGAAGGAGCTTTACATCTCTCTCTATGTAACTCAGCCTGGCGGTGTAAGTATACAGGGCTAGGTACCTCCAATATCAGTAACAATGAAGGGAAGTTCTCGACACATCTTGATTCTGTATTTGCAAAATAAATAGGATGAACTACCTTATCCTGAGAATACTTTCCAACACACTAGTAAGTGAGCAGCAGGGAAAGGGGTGGTGAGGGAGCATCAAGTAACCCAGCTGAGCGATGAGGGACACCAGCCCAGGTCCATACTCTCTCCTACACGCTGTCGAGTGGAAGGAGAGAGAAGCTGCCTCCTTCCGAGGTGACGCCAAGCAGGCATCCAAGCTGGGATCTCTGACAAAGCCTCCAGGGGAAACAAGTTTGCCTTCGCATTGGCAATGGGCTTTGGGGGATCTTTCACCCTCAGGAAGCTGCCTAATGAGATCTGCCCTACTATTATTTTTACTACAACTTGAAATACCCAGGTAGCACTAGAAGTACTGGAAGAGTGACTATTGTCAGGACAGAATTAAAGAACAGCAAACAGCAGGAGACAGAGACAACCACAGATGTTCTGACCAAGGCAACTATCTTTAAACACATATATTTGAAAATTCTCTGTGATTATGAAAGAAGTGAAAATAAGCACTAGATGGGCAGCAGGTGAAGACTGAAAAGACTCAAGGATAGCTTTTAAAAAATGACAGTGCAATGCGAAACTCTAGTTCCAAAAGTCCACAGAACTATCTCCATTCTAACAGATGTGGAAGCTGAGGAATAAGGAGATGTCAATGCTAAAAAAAAAAAAAAAAAAAAAAAATCACATGACTAAATCATGACAGAGCCAGGACATCAACCCTAATCCTCCCCTTCGTTAATCAGGCTCCCTTGCCTTGGGGTTCTTTTATTATGGTTATTATTGGAGGTGAGTGACCTCTGTTTGCCATGTCAAGCATGAAGGATGTCCTAAGCTTCCCCGCATGTTCAACAATTTCCCCCCCATATACAAACCATAAAGCCAGCAGCAAGTTAACATGGCTGGCACAGACACGGGATGTTGTCAGAATAAAATTCGCGTGTGTAATATAATGACCCAATTTTCACTGTCAGTTGGATACCCCGCTCAGAGGGCTGATTAAAACCCTGGCTTGCCCAGGTAACACCAGGGGCAGGGAAATTATGCTAATTCAGGCAACAAAAAGGACTGTTGAGCTAACACTCCTTCCAGCTCTTTCATCCAGGAATAAAGGATTTTAGTGGGTTGTCTGAGACTCCTGCCTGCCCACCCAGTTCATGCGCTATTAAAAAAAATCACACTGATATGCATATTTTATATTTAAATAATACACCTAAAATTCTTGAAGTAGCAACATAACCTTGATTTTAAAATAATATAATCAATGTTTAGAACTTCAATGCCTTTCAAGTATGTAAGTCTAGCATGATCACAACTGTACATTATCTGTACAAGAATCACAATTTCCATTGTCTTGCTCCTAAAAGAAAACCAACAGATACAATTGCGACCTGTCCGAGGGTTTTTTTTCCTGAATAAGCTGCAAATGAAGAAACATCGTTGGTGACCTTAACTTCAGTCCGAGGAAAGTAGACATTTTAATGACTAACTCTAAGCTCTGGTCCATACTGGTCAATCAAGCTTCAGTTACGCTTTCTTTTTTGGTAAATAAAAGGGGTGCAGAAGTATGTACTTCTCACCTAGCAATATAGTGTGTGTAAAGGTAATATAAGTACAGCGTTTCTCACCACAGCTGTTCAAACCTATCAAAAACTACATTCGTACCTCAGCTGTACGTTTCCTTTAACGATCTCTGTACAGTTTACAGCTTTTTGTCAGAGCTTATACAGAAAAACATCTTAATTGATACAGATGACAATAACCCTTTTCTTACCTAAATGATTTCCCGAATAAGGAACAAGAAAATAACTTTCCGGCACCTAAGAAGGTTATTTTGCTTTCTGCTGGAAAACCTAAAATGTCTTCGCAAGTCACCGCAAGCCACCAGCAGGGCCGTACGGCCGCGTTTAGCCGCAGAGAAAGGGCCGCAGGCTGCCCGAGCCTCAGCCGCAAGAGGGCGGCCGGTATTCCCAAACACAGAATTTATTACTTTGTTTCAATACAAAGCACTGGTATTCAGCCATAAAAATGTTCTTTCCCAAGTGGGCTGGAGAGGGTATGGGAGACCATAACTTTTTTTTTTTTTTTTTGAAGTTCTGTGTTTTAAACACGGTGAGTTTTCTCATCGTAAATAGGGATACAAGGTAATTAAATTAAATAGGTTACGTAAAGAGGTCACCCAAACCACAGCGCAAGTCTGAAGCAAGAGAAGATGATGCTGC